CATTGTTTATATCATCATTCATTTCTCAAGAGAAAACATTGTTTCCTATATATACTATAATTGTTGCTATATTATTGTTATTTATACAGAAGCTCTTCAGATTCCTAACAATATATATATATTTCTGTTCCAATATAGAATTTGTCTGTGTCTTTTTCAAACTTGTTTGGCATTGTTGATTGTTTTCACCTTTTATAGGTTAGTGAAGGTCTGGATTTCGCGGACCATGCTGGAAGAGCAGTAGTCATAATTGGTATTCCATTTGCCATGAGAAATGATCCTAAGGTTTGAATAAGCATTTACTGCGGCATTTTGATCTGCCATTCATTAGCTACCCATGCACCTATCCACATACACACACAGCAATTACACCGACTCATATGCCCATTTGAGATAATAAAATTCCTTCACATCTGCTGCTTCTGATTGCTTTACTAATTAACATTTTATGACTGCACATTTTTCATTTTTCTTAATAGAATGTGTCATGTTATATGTTGTAGTTCTGCTATATTGCTTAAAAATGGCCTCTTTTATTTACTCCAATTTTTGTCTATTAGTTCACTCTAATTTCTGCATTTCAGTAGATTGCATCTTCCTATTGACATTATCCATTATGCTCATGTTCTAGCTTGAAAATCTGTTAAACTATTCGACAGGTTCGACTAAAGCGCGAGTACTTGGATCAACAGATGCAACAGAGAAGTGAAGAATGCAAGGTAAAGTGACTTTTTTAAATGAAAAAGCTAGTTTGAACTCCTAAATGTCTTCTTGCTGAAGTTGATCAGTTCAATTTAGTTAGACACCGAAGTCACATGTCCTTACTGGAGAGGAGTGGTATAATCAACAAGCATCACGGGCTGTGAATCAAGCAGTTGGACGTGTAATCCGTCATTCCCATGACTATGGAGCAATTATCTTTTGCGATGAGAGGTTTTTGCTTCTTTTCTTAGAAAAGAAATTAATTTATCATTTTCTTAATGATTGTAGGCAATTTATATCAAAGTTAACCCTCCCTGGGGAGAACAATGTTCTAAAGGAAAGCTTGATCTTCAATATACTATTCTGATTCTTGTGAACTTAAGTTCAAAATATATTTAGTTGAACATTTTTCAAGGAAGGTTTTGTACTTAGTTGCCATTAACATGGTGGATCATTCAGGAAAATTACTTGCTACGATTTCTATGGAGTTGAGGTCCACATCTGAACTTTAGATTTCATATTTCTTCCTTGCGACTGCAATATTTTAGTGCACTTGGGGGTTTTTGCACTATTTATAAAAAAACTGGATTTAGAATCTATATGTATTAAATTCAAATGTTTGATGCAAGTATATCTGCATAAGATATAGAACAACATGTTAAGAAATGTTTGGGTATCCTGACTTAGATGCCTTTTACATGGATTATACAGCAACCATTTGGAAAAAATAGGACATAAGCCATAAAATCTGTGGCCATTAGTTTGTATTTTATCTTAGGTCTTTTTGTCCTTAGCTGATCTAGGTATCATTTATGATATTAAAATTTCATTATCGTGCCATTTCATGAATGTGTGATGTGCCTTGTACTTTTTTGAATCTTAACCTACAGATTTTTGCAGCCAAACCATCAGTCCCAAGTATCACATTGGATACAGCCTTATGTCAAGGTAAAAACTTGTATATTTTGGCTAACCCTTTCATCAAGAAACGATTTTTTGATTAGTTTCTGTATTTGCAGTGTTACTCAAAATTGGAGATGTGGTTCTAC